CGCCACTCCTCTTCAGGGCCTTTGCACTGAGCCACATCCCCAGCCTTTTACATTTTTTTCTTTTCTAAATTTTGAGACAGAGTTTTGCTAAGTTGCCCTCGCTCCAGCCTCCCAACGTTACCACCACACCCAGCCAGCCAGCTTCTTAGGTCCCCCTTTCCTGGTGTGTGCGGTGGAATGACAGGCAGCCCTAGCTCAGACGTCCAAAGGGACGGGGGCAGGGGACTAAGCGGGACCCTCGCCAGGTGCACTGTGAGGACCCAGCAGTCTGAGCTTCCCAGACACCTCGCGGTCCCATGCTGTCTCCATTGAATCCTACAAGTGTCTCTGCAGGCGCTGGCCTCAGAGAGCAGCCCTGTTTTCTGGTGGGGAAACAATGGAGGCCCAGAGAGCTCTAGCAGTGTGGCTGACATCAGGAAGCCCAGCTGTGGCTCCACACTGCTCTCCTGTCATCCTTCTGCCCCTGCGCGTGGAAGCTGTGGGGAGCAGGACCATGGCCATCCGGTGAGGTGGCTCCTTGTGCTGCCCCAAATCTGGACAGACAGAAGGAGAGACAGAGAGCTTCCTTAGGGGGCTACTGTTGCAATGCCCTGGGTGACAGACACCAAGCCCGGTGGGTCATTGCCGTTTCCCAGCAAGGGAGCTGAGGGGCACGGAGGGGCTAGGAACTCGCGCAGCAGTGGGCTGGCCGGCTCCAAAGCCTCATGCTCTGAGGGAGGGCAGGGGCAGGCCAGGTGACCGCACAGTCCCCCAACAAGCAGCCAAAGATGACGCCCACAGGCACCAGGAAAACAGAGTGTGGTGTCCTGGGCTCCGGCGATCCTGTAAACAGGCAGCGTCACCCTGGCTGAAGCCCGTGGCCACTTTCAGTGACCGCGTTGTGTTGATTTAGTTTCTGGTGTGAACAGACCAGGGCAGGGAGCAGAGCCATGCCTTCCTGTTTTGGAGGCAGTGGTATATTTTCCAAACACAGCAAGCGAGCGGTCTCAACCCAGACCCAGGCCATGTGTCTTGCACATGCAGATGGGGCAGGACTGAGTGGGCTGGAGGCAGCCGCAGCCCACAGACCCGTTTCCTCTGGACGGAGCATCCCTGCTCCCTCCCGGGTCGGGTGGGGGCACTGCCTCCCTGACTGACTTGATCCCAGGTTGGCTTGAAATGCTCCAGGGCTTCTGGGTGAGATGGTTTCAGGCCTCAAATTCAGAACAAGCCCAGGCATCAAGCAATCTTTGCAGCCTTTAGGTCCAGGAGCCATCGCCACACTGGGAATCGGGGTCCTCTGCACCTTGCCTGGAAACAGAATCCCAAGCGTGTGGTGTGGGGTTGTGGGCCCAGCTTCCAGGTGTGTGAGATTCTCAGGGCCACGCTTGTGCCGAGAGTTCGTGGCACTTGTTTGTAGGGTGGAAGAGTGACAAGCTCTCCCCTCAGTCCTTCTTTTTCCAAATGAGATGTGGGGGTGTGGGGTCCCCAGGAGTCACAGTCCAGTAGGAAGCAGAGAGCAGGGCTTCAGCCAGGCCCGGGCCACTCCACAGCCCACCCCCACCCTGCAAAGCTGGGGGCGGGGAAATGGGGAAACTCCCAAGCAGGGTTCAGAAGGCAGGTGTGTGACTGTGTATCTGGGTGGCCCAGCTCTGCTAGGTCCACAGGGCCCGCTCCTGAGCCTCAGCATGGTGACACACGGGGCTCATCCACGGATGTTGGTCCCTTATTAGGACAGGGCTGATCTGGTCAGCACCAGCCAGGCAGAGTGGGAAACAGTGGGACCACGCCCAGGTGACCGCATGGCTATCCTTACGACTCAGAGTGAGGCACAAGCTTGATAAGAAGCCTGTGCGTCGGGGCTGGGAATGGCTCAGTGATGAGTGCTTGCCAGGTGTGCAAGAGGCCCTGGGTTCTATTCCCCGCATGTCCGAAACAACAAAGAGAAACCCACCTATTCCAATTTGCATGGGCTACTTGCGGGACCTTGAATGTAGACTGACTCGGAGTGGCCAGGACACCTCTTCCCACTAGCCCCTTCTGGACTGAGGCCACCAGAGCCATGAGAAGCACCGACCTATAGTCCTAGGTAGGCTGAGGCAGGAAGATTGCAAGTTCTAGCCCACCCTGGCAAACTGAGACTTAGGAAGACCTGGTTGAAAAAAAAAAAATTAAGGGCTGAGGATATAGCTCTAGGTTCAATCCCCAGTACTGGGGGGAAAATGCAGGCAGGAATCTCCCCATAGAAAACTAAGAGCTTTGTTGTCCTCCAGAGGTCTCTCTACACACAGACCCCCCAGGCCTGGGTGTCTCCTCTTCAGTTGCACAGGCAGAGCTCATGAGCCTGCAGGCAGCTCAGCAAGACACTCATAGCCCTTCCCCAGGCACTGTCTACCCAGCACCTGCTATGCCCAGGGCACTTTGGCAGTGACAGTGACAGAGACATTGGGCTGCTGTCCCCAAGGAGGAGACTAGCAAGGGGAATGCGCATACCAGATAAGGACTCATGACCGCAGGGCCTCCAAGACCCTAATCCTCCACACCAGGCTGGGGTGGGGGCTGGAGCTGGTCTCCTCTGGTCCAGCCGTGCATGTTCAGAGTGATACTCTTTCCTTCTTGGCTGTGGCCTTGAGAGGCTGCCTGGGCGCCTGTAGCCCATCTTTCCCCTGGTTTGGCCTTGCTCAGGACAAGGCTGCATAAATATCCTGCCTCCTTTGCTCAGGTGCCAGACAATTCTGAGGCGAGTTTTCCAGTCTCCCGGCATTCCTAGTGGGACAACGCCCCAGAGCCCAGGAGGGACCATGCTTGGTGGCTCTGGATCGATCTGTGCGCTCCCTCTCTGCCTCGTGCCCCTTCTCCACAGGAGTCTTCTGGGCTCTGTCCCAGGCAGATCATTTGCACTCAAGTTCTTGCCTCAGTCTGCTTTTGGGGAAACCTGAACTCTGATGTGGGTACTCACCCAGCAAAGGCATCCACCCCCAGCTGCTGCAAGGCAGATATGACCACAGCTATCTGTTCAGTCCAGGGATGGGGCTGGGGCACTGGGGGATGGTGGGCTGAGGGACAAGAGGTAGCCACAGACCAAGGTACCTTGTCCCATGGCCGATGCTCTGCATCTCCCTGCTAAACTTCTGTGATTCCCTGCCAGCTGGCACCACATCCCAGCTGCTAGCTGAACTGCTGTGTTTCTGTGTCCTCTCTAGGACTTCTGCTGGAGTGCACTGGCCACGGGTAGAGGAGGGACCTTTGGGAAATGCCTGGGTCTTGGGTCTCCCTCTCCTCACCAGGAATTGCTGTAGCTATGCAGGAACCGGGCTAGTTTTCTCAGGGAGGGTCTGTTACCCCCTCTGTTTTCCCCCATGGCTGACTCCCTAGATGCCATTCCTTCTGCCTCCACTACAGATGACCCCTGCTAGATGGTTTCACTGTGCTTTGGGAGTTCCCAGCCTCCAGAACCGGGAGCCAAATAAACTCCTATTACTTATAAACTACCCATCTCAGGCATTCTGTGACAGCCACAGAAAACAGACTAAGACAGTCCCCCTTTGTGTCATGTAGCATTTCCAGGGCCTGGGACACCTTTCTGGCAATTGCAAAGAAAGATCACTTATCTAGCCTTTTCCCTCGGGCTGTTCCAGACCAGCATATGTTCCCACAGGGACACAAGCAGCCAGGAAAGTACTGCTCGTTCCCGGCCCCAAGGGGTTGTGGGAAATTCCTGAGGGTACCCCAGGAAACCCACAGGCCCTGGCTATTGCTCTGGCCCCATGGACTTGGCCCCACAGAACACAGAGCAGCACCTTTCCAGTCCGTGCCTTCCTGTTGTTACTTGTGACTGTATGCAAGGTTGAAATAGCCACGGCCCATCTCGGTTCTCCTCTGTTGCCAACTCCAGCCACAGATGGTCTTTGTGGGTAGCGCAGGGGTGACACCGGTGGCCGCTTCCATAGGAAACCATGTGCCAGGTCACACAGAGTCCCAGTTAGCACCAAAGACCACTTTGACAGCAAGGAGCCACATCTGGTATCCCCACTGCCACCTGCAGGGAGGCCAGAAGCCAGGAGCCCTGGACATGGGGGCTGCTCCAGTCCATCAGGGCCAGCCGGGTGGAGGTGGGACAGAGAAACAGCTGTGCCACCAGCCAGGACACTGTGTCCCGTGTTCCTGCTGACGTTGGAGCCCCTCAGTTAAAAGCAGCACTTCTCCTGATGTTTACAGGACATGTTTCTAGGG